GAGAGTCTGACTTTTTAGTTATGTTTGCTTTTGTAAATGTTTTACGACGCTCGAACTGCATAAAGTCATATGTGCGCGCGGGACACATTAAACATTCTGTTAGTGGATGGGACATTAAAAATTTTTCCAGAGTGACAGCCAAAGACTACTCCTATCGACTTTGGACCACCAAGGGATCTTTAACCTGCGCTACTCGAACACAGTACCTCCGTGATTTTTTGCCCTTGTCCGAGAAAGCTAGTTGTAGATCTTTCCTACCATAAGATCAGGGGTGTGGCTGAAAGACAGCAGTAAGAAGGAGCCAAGGAGTAGCAGTAGAAAGGTTGCAGAAAGAGTCAGGAGCCCAGAGGAGGAGGCAAAGGAGGTGGGGTGGGGACAGAAAGAGGAGAGGAAAGCAGACGACAGAACATTGTTAGAGAGCAGGAAAGAAGGTGAAAGGATACACTTTTAGAGCAAAAACTTTCCGTTGCTATCCGGATTCAAACCAGGGACGTATAAAATGAGAGGCGAACATCTTAACCTCTAGTCTCTAGACTACGGGAGCTCCCACTTTTTAGTTAGAATATTCAGTTGCATCCAGTTGTTTGACCTACCCATAAGTTCATTATTCGGATCAGTTTGAGGAAAAGTCGGTAGAACGCAATGACTATTCCATACACTGCCAATATCATTTCCCTTGCTTTTCATAAGGCGTATATTCTCCAAACTTGATCGCGACTGGTGTGTTTAAACCAGATTCGTGTGCAAGTTGTGCACTTTCAATATCCCTTGGTGGTCTAAAATCGATAAGAGTAGGCTTTGGCCGCCACCCGGGCAAAATTCAAAATTCCCTGCCAACTGAAAATGTTTAATGTGTCCCGCGCGCTCATATGACCTTATGCAGCTGAGAGTGCCGTAAAACACTTGCAAAAACAAACCAGGTTCTCAGCCAATCTGAAACGCGAAATTCGGGTTCCTCATAAACTGGTTGTTTTGCCAAGTTTTGTCCAACTGGCCCACAAGGACCCCCACGACATTAGATTATTCTGTTTCCTCCCCGCTTACCTGCTGTCGTTGTTGTCCTGTTCCCTCCAACCCCCTCTGTCTCCCCCCTCTCCCCCGCCCCCTTTCCTTTCCCCCCACAACCTGGCTTTCCACTGATCAGCTGGGCACAATGCGCACACACCTTTTTCTTCTAGATCTAGTTCCGCGCGCGCGGCCTCGCGTGGTGTGCGCCTCCTTCTCCTCCTCCTCTTCACCGCGCGGCACTCTGCCGCCACTCCGCCGTCGCCGACTCTGCTGACTGACTAACTGACGACGAGTGAGATCTATCTTGGCGAGGCCAGCTTTGCCGGAGAGTGGAGCGCGGCGAAGCAGCAAACATAAAAACCGTGTCGCACAAAGCCAGCTTCTTCTTTCCTCAGTAGGACTAGTTGGAGTGAGGAGGACTTCATAGTACACTCTCTCACACTCACACACACACACACGCACACAGGTCCGTTCAGAGGCGGCGTGGCGCGGGAGATTTTGCTTTTTCAGTTTGAAAACCAGAAAAAACGTGTAAAGTTTGGTGGAGATAGATTCCTAAATTCTAATCGTTGAGAGGCGAGGATTTTGGCTATTCGGTTCTGTGTTGCCTCATCGTGTGTGTTGGCGAGGTTTTGGGATGAGTCCGAGGTTTGCGTGAGTTACCAATTGTGTGTTATCATTTTCGTTTAAGCTTCCTTCCTTTTTCTTTCCCTTTTTCGTTCTTTTGTTTCATTTTTCAAAAAAGAATTATTTACTTTCATTTGTTTTTTGTTTTTTTACCACATTTCCCATTTCGGAATCGAATTTTGTGTCTCGTCGTAGCCTACTGTTTTTGGATATGTTTACAACGATTTTTAAATGTTGTTTTGGGTTTAATTTTTACTTTTTTTTTAGGGGGGGGGGGTGTTGGTTTTTTTATATTTTGAGAAATTTCTTACTGAAATTCGATAGCGCTGAAGAAGAAAAAGAGGGGAACATTTTGTATGAGTTTCCGTTTTCTTTTGATTGTTTGCAGTTCTGCACTTTGTGATGCATAAGTGCTTGACGAGGAAGATTTTACAAATCTTTGGACTTGGTTAAATTCTATTTCTGTCTGTCTGTCTGTCTGTCTGTCTGTCTGTCTGTCTGTCTGTCTGTCTGTCTGTCTGTCTGTCTGTCTGTCTC